CAAAGTCCACTCTTTGCTGTTTTAATGAAATACTGGAGAGTAATTTAGCTGAAACTACATGAGAAGTGTAGAGGGCAAATTTCTCTGCTGGATGTGCCAACAACTCATAGACATCTGAAACATGACAAGGGGCCCTATGAAGTATGAACTTCAAAAAGACTGGTGGTTTAATTGGTTTTATCTTTAAAATTGCATTGTATTTGATAGTGTATGCTAATCCTATGTTCTTAGTTCTAGCTTTCAAAAATGTAGTGGAGTAAAAAGTACAACATTTCCCTCTGAAGTGTAGTTAAGTTCAAAGTAGCTTCAAATGGTATACTCAAGTAAAGTACAAGTATCTCTGAATTATACTTAGTAGTATTATGTTAACGATCCCCTCCATTGAGTATTTTAACTTGTCATAAAACATGTCTGCAGGCATGTTTTATGACATGTTAAAATACTCATATATAGTTCAGTTAACTACTTGCATAAACTCCTTTGCCCTTACTGAAAAATCAAAATTTATTAATTCAAAATTTGATTTTAAAAATTGTGTATTGTATGTGTGCTGGAAGTGTCAATGTCCTCATCACACTTGTGCAAGTTGCATATTGGAGCATGGTTGGCTTCCCAACTAGCTATGATGTTACAAAATCATGCTTGTATGTACAGGCCACAACACTCTTTCCTCCTTTAGCAGATGAATGTAAAAACAGCCTTCTAGTGTCAAACTCATGCACATGCATCATTCTACACACTAAAGGTCAAACAACCGAGTGAAGTAACAATAAGAAAAAAACATGCTTGAGTGGAGGGGAGCTTTAAAAAAATGTCAAACATGACTCTAACTTGTTCTGTCCAAGATGAAAGCATTTGGTCTTTACATCTAATTATTAGGAAATATAAAAATATTTTAAAACAGTTAGAAGATTGTGTTTGTTCTTGTTTTGGCATTGTTGACTTGAAGTGAACCAAAACTCAAAAATCCTCACTTTCAGTCTTTACACATTTGCCGCATGCTCCACACACATCTTGTTTATCATACTCATATATAATGAATCGCTCAAAACTGTTATTTTTTCTCAATTACTATAAGCAATGGGATGCTACATATACACAAAGCTTTATGCCAAAGTTACAAAGTTAGAACAGTTTTGGTTTTTTCACATGCTCTTCTCACTGGTTTGAAGTGCACAGACCAAAAACATCATGTTATCCCTGCACCAATCAGGATTTATCATCAAATTACACTCAAATTATCCAAACTTTAACTCTGATCGTTGCCGTTTTAACAAAGAATTTTACATGTTAAAGAGAAAAGTTCATAACTGAAAACCAAGTTTGCACGAGCTTTAAGCTCTATTTATGGTTCTTATAATAAAGCACATACTTATGCCAGCAATGTCTCAAAAAGCAGAACTGTGTTATGGCAATGGCTTTGCCTTCAGTGTTGTCTTGTGTTTTCCCCTTCCCAATGTTCCCAGTGATACCCTGTTTGTTTGTGTCTCCATTTCTGTGTATGGTTTGTGTGAGTGGACGTGGTCTCCCTGTCTGGCTGGACATAATGTTCTCATTATGCAGAGTTGAACTTTGACATGATAACTAATGACTAATTACCCATAACAGCTTGGTTTTCTATGGGTTCCTGATGGGGCACACAGTAGTTCATTTCAGTCAACTCAGACCATATTGATTCATTTTGTGTTTTTTCAGATCTTAATTTGATCAGAGTTCTGTTTGACCTCTATTCACACTCATTGGTCTATTGAACCCTATAGGAAAATCTGTGGAAACATTTGCTAATAAGAACTCATACCTGCGGTAGGACACACAGTGCACGATAGTGTTCAATAACTGTTCCCTTTTTTTGAGTGGGGGCAGCACCCAAAAGCCCACATCAAGTACACCTGTCTTTCATGCTGTATGTGTAGGTGTGTGTGTGCATGTGTTTGTTTGTTTTGTGTGTGTGCTTGACACAATATGGCAGGAGAAAGTTGGTGACATTTACATAATCCAGGAGAACATAGTCTGGTTGATTGGGGATGTCCCATGGAGCATGAAACCAAACACAATAAAGTACAATGGAAAGTGACCCTCACTCTCTGTCTCACACTGCATTCTTTAAAACCCAACAGCAACTTTCACTACTGTTTTCATACCAAGATTTCTCATGCTCATTTCTACATTTACATTTCAAATACTGTAAATTTAATCTTCTTACCATCAATCCATTCCACTTATGAGTCAAGACAGCATTCCAGCATGTCTTATCTTATGGGAATTCTAGTTTTCTCTTAACTGTTTACAACTGCTTTTTACAAATTTCAAGCTCGTCTTAAATTATAGTGGTGCCCTTATGTATGCTGCTTGCTGTAATCACTCCTTGTGTTCATATTAACCATCAAACAACCCTGTCTCCTAGTGATTATGTTTATACAGTACTAAACTGTTTCCCCAATTGCGTTGTTGTTTTCTTGAGTGAATCATGAACCGCATCGGAGTAACAGGACTGTGCCACCATGATTTGGAGTTCACCTAAAGAGTCCTGACTATGGTTAAGGGTAAGGTTAGGAAAAAGTTGTGATTTTAGTTCAGTTTTAATGAACACATTGTTTCAATTCTGACCTTTTCTGTCTTAAACCAAGAACACGTCCTTAACGTTAACCGTAAGTGCTGTGCAGGCCTAAACATAACCATAAAAAGTTAAACAATGCTGTAGTCACTACAAGCAGATATTGTATTGCAAAGCGGAAAACAAATGGAATTTATGTGTACTGTCGGATGTTTTAATTTACAACATTTACTCATTGTGTTAATACAACAGGTGACCGGGGCAGGTGAATATTATATTTCCTTTCAAAATATTTCTGCAGTTGCAAAGTAGTCAGTATAAAAGAAATTCCTCAGGGACATGGTTGCATTGCAAGATCCTTTACTAATGAGCTTTCAATGAAAGTGATGGGGAATAAAATCAAAAGTTCTCACTCTGTGTAAAAAATAATAATATGAGGCTTCAGCAGTCTCAAATCAATTATTTTTGTTTGAAACTGTCATGCCCCCCCCTGCTGCGACCTAACCCTGACTTGTGGAAGACTGCCTTGTGTTTGCGGTTTTTGGTTTGGATTTGCACTCCCTCGGGTTCCTGCTCTACTTAAGCAGCGGCCTGACATCCTGTCCTTGCTGGATTGTTAAGTCGTCTCAGTACGTCTTGGCTACCAGCACGTTTGGTTAGGAACCATACCTGTACTCTGTTTGTTAAGCTGACAACTAACCTGTTTTTCCTGTGCTCAGGATCTCTACCGGACCCGTCCGTGACCAACTCACCTTCCCAGCCACCTGGATCTCACTCTCCCGCCTGTTACCTGTTTGCCTCTCTGCCTGGACCCCATCAGCTTCCTTCCACTGCCTGCTCTGCCTGCCCCGATCCCCGCAGCCACCGCCAGCTCCTTGACTCAATAAATCTCTGAGAACCAGCTCTTGTCTCCAGTCTATTCCTGGGTCTTATCTGAAGCGTGACAGAAATTCCCTCTTTGTGTTAGTATCCCTCCACTGCAGCTCAACAAAGAAACACAACAAGGGAATTTTTATACTAAACAAATGTATCTTTGGATTATACCCACTTGAGTTTTCTAAATCAGACTGCTGAAACCTCATATTGTATTTGCTTACAGAATGAGGACAGGGGATTTTGTCTCCAATCGCTTACTTTAAAAGCTCATTAAGAAGGCATCGTTTCCTGGCTAATAAAACCAGGAGTAATGATTGCAGCAAGCAATCACTGTTCCTATGTTCACATTGGTGCCTGACTGTTGTTTAACAACAGACTTGAAGAAGTGCGAACATATCCTTTAATGATTGCAACAACAGTTGGAAAACACAACCACAAATGTAATGTCTCACTTCATGTTTGTAACTTATGGGGTGTCACCCTACCTTAACAATTACTGACTCCACAGGCAACGTACAAAGTGTTATGTAGTCCTAATTACTTTTTATATGGAAGGACATATGATATGCTCATATGATGTGATGTAGCACTATACTACTAATCTACCCTGTAGTATACAAAAATAACACTATAATTTGCTCCAAATAGACAAACTAGAAAAAGGAAGTGCTCTTAAATCTGCTCATTAGTGATGAAAACAGAATAATATATTAGTATATAATATACCAGGAGCTATTATGTGAAATGAGTACTTTTATTTTAGATACTTTAAGTACATTTTGTACAAACAAGATCATATTCTATACTTTTACTAAGTAACATTTTGAATTCAGGACTTTTACTTGTAATGGACTAACCTTTAAACTATGGTACTTTTACTCTTTTAAGTCAAAGGTCTGAACACTTCTCCCCCCACTGACTACATACAATACTTATACTTACAGTACATACTGAGTCTTTTAAATAGAATAGAATTTGGATAGAGACAGAATGAGGCTATAGCGTGTCAGAAGGGATGCCATAATATGCCGCATTACACATAAATAAAAGTGTATTTCCTCATCACAAATCAAGTCAATTCAGATCAAAAGCATTGGGTGAAGAAAAAGTCCCTGTCATATTTGTTTGGTGTTAAACTCTGACAGTGACCTATAAGCGTGGTAAAAAAAACACAAACCACCCACAACAAACATTACTGTCAGTCAGGGGCCGCACCACAGACACATTTAACTCAAATACTACATATCTTCTTCTTCATCTGATTCAACATATATAACCAATTTGTTGTTAAATATTTCACTCTTACTCTCATTTCAGGGGAATTAAGAGTGACTTGTTGTTCCGTATCAAAGTTGTACTATGTGAAACTGCATTTTGGTTTGATTAATCTGATTAACGTTTCACACCAGTTCTTAAGCAGTGCTTATCAGTTTTGCCTCAAATGCAATATGCTTTGCCATCCACAAGTGGAGCCACCTACACCACAGCCTCCTTCCTCTTCTATGTCTAACCACAACTCTCGTTACAGAGGGGAAAAAAACTTTCATCTTCACTACAACCCCATGTCAAAGGGAAAGCCCTGTCAACCTGTCATGTCTCTCAGAGAGAAGCAGCAGATGAATTTGGACACTGACAGTACAACACACACTGGGTGAGTCAAGGTTTATGTGTGATGAATTTTGTTCTTCTGTTAAAGGTGTTTCAAAATATATTTTTTAGCTGTGATATCTCTGAAAAAACTAGCCAAATTTGTGTTTTTGTGCAATGGTCTGTGGATAAGATCATCTTTTCCTCAATCTCAGTCCAGAAGAAATTGAAATTTTGAGTTCTCAAAAACATACATCTCATAGACAGTGGTCAAAGTAAAATTTACCATTCATATCAGTGCAGAAAAACAGATTGTAAGATTTGTTGGGGTACTGTCTGGATGTATTTACAGTAATTAACCAAATAGTGCTCAACATTTATGGGACAATCAGTACAAATTAGGAGCTGATGTAGAATCACATACTTGATGAATTTAGAAAACTAGATAGATGTAAAGATTTTTTTTTTCCCACTGCAGACGCCAGATATCAGGTCAGAAATATAGTTTTCCAGTTCAGATTTTTTTCTTATAATTCATCAGAAAGAGGCAAAATACAATTTGTTATTTTTAGCCTATATGTCTTTATGGTACATTAAGGGATTAACTTGCGACTAGCCCTTTCACTGTCTAACTCAAATCACCTGAAATATGTGAATCATATATCATATACACTGGAATGTAAGTATGGAAAGTATGCTATTGAAAAACACCCAGAGACCACTGTAACATTCTTGACTGGCATCAACACAATTCGGGGTCAGTGGCATTTTAGAGATCACTGATTAGTTTCAGTCTATGTCATGACAAATAAGTAACCAAACCACAAACCATAGACTACCTAACTCTGTACAGGACCTACTGAGGTAAAATCCCAGAGAAGAACAGCATGGTGGCTATGAGCTGAGGGTACATACCCATGATGCAATGTGTGCAGCGCAGTGAAACACTTGGCCCAGTTGTTGTGTGTAGTCTAGTTTAGTTGTACTTGTCACATCAAACTCTTTCATAAAACATTGGCAGGACAGCAACTTAAAGTGTCTTTTATGCATAAGGGTTTTTAGTTCTCTGAGTCATCTTATTATTTTAGTCACATAATACCATGCAAGTGAAAGTATTTTGATTCTAAATATCTGGAGTTAAATGGCCATTTTGAGTGATATATTATTATATAATATAATATGGGTATGTACCCTCAGACTTGGTGTTAGATTAAACCTCCAAGGAAGTAATTAAAATAATTACAATCTCCTCAAATATATGAGAAAACTAATGTGTGTGTATTTGACAGAATGGAGTGCCAGTCAAGGTCCTCTCATAAGTACCTGCTGCTGCAGGTGTGGTGTGGTCTCCTCACCGTGGCCATGGTGGTTATGGCTGCACTTCTTCCTTCCATCAAACCAAAGTCCACTGAGGTCAGTACATCTGCCACAAGAAGAGGAAATTACCTTTAGATTCATATTCCCTGCTTTAAGTGTCAACTATTACCTGACAGTTTACAATATAGCGGCATTGCAGTGACTGAATAGCCAGTATTATGTAGGACTCCATATTTCATGTGTGACTCTCATGTAGTTGATGCATGTCACATGACAGAACAACGTGTGTGAAATTCCAAAACATGTAAAATCACATCCCAGCTGTGCTTGTAAAATTCCACTTCACATGATGTCACATAAAAACCGCAAGTTGTAAAATTATAATAAGACTTTACTACATGCAAAAACGAAGTGGCTTTTAAATGTGTTCTATGCTATCACAAAGCAGATCCTCTCTTTTTTTGCCAGTCGTAAAGTCCTGGGATTTCCAGTACGAGCCTATAGTTGGCAACTACATCATGATTGACAGGATATTGTATGGGATTGTCTGTCATCGTGTTCTTCTCCGGTATTTGCTGTATTTATTGTGTAAACCAAGAATAGTTCCCATTTCAAATCTGATCATGGACTCATTTTTATATTTTTCACGTAAATTAAAGGATACATTGGTTGAGAAGATTCTCCTGCTTCATAAAACCCTCCAAAAACCCATTGAATCATCTAAAAAGCAGCATGTTTAAAACGTAGTTCACGGAAAGTTCATATTTTGGAGATACATGGTTTTCACTCTCTATTGAGAGTGAGACAAGAAGGTTATTATGATGAGGATGCAGATGATGACGGTTTGTTTTCTATGTTTTAAAGGATGAAGTCTCTGCATTGAAGTCAGATAATGTCACTTCAACAGGTACATTGATTAGTCACTGTGTTCACTTCAAACAATGCATTTTAAACAAAATTAAGGGCTTATGAGTATTTTAATAAAAACATTAAAACATGCCACATTTACATGAATAACGTTGGATTTAACTCAAATCTTTTCTTTTGCAGTCACCACTTTTGTGGCCCCACTAAAGTCTGGAGGTAATGTTTTACTACCAATGTCCTGAACATAAAAACAAACTGAAAGATACTAACAAGTAAAACGCACTGTGAACATTTCCACAGTTACTGCATCAGCAGCTAACCTTTAAATGATGTTGCTTTTCAGGATCCTCCGTCTCATTCATCCAGCTAATCAAGTGTAAGTACACTTTCTCTTCTGGTTAGTGTTCAGATTCATTATCATCGCTTCATCTTGTGGGGTAAAATTATGTGTTTTAATGATGGTGAGTTTACAGAAAAAATCATATTTTCACATAAATTTTGAGTGTTTTAGATAGTTGTCGAGAGCATGTGTTTAAACGTCTACTGCAGTCTGTGGTTCTATTTGTTATGAGCTTGAGGGCAAATCTAAAATGTGAAGTAACAAGAGCTCCATTGATGACGTAGGACTACGTATGATACATTATCTCTATGAAGTACTGGTCAAGCATGGATGGGATGTCATGTTAAGTTTTTCAATGACAGCAGAAACATTTCATCAGCTTGCTAAAACAGCAACAGTCAGTGTCAGATTTTGCAGTCAGGATTTCAAAGAGCGAGTACTTATTTTTACAGCTAAAAATAATACAAAATGTGTTTTGAGTACAGGATTCTCACTTTTTACTGATATCTCTTGCTGTCATCATGTTTCTATTGCAAAAAAACCTGCTGCCACACTTGACACCTACAGATGCAGAGTGCACTGCATTCATACATGCTCTTTGAGAGTTGAGTCATTCTGAGAACCGTGGGAAGTCTTTAAGTGAAGCAGATGAAGATAGTGCAGATTTAGGGGAAGTGAGAGTAAATAACAACAAAGTAACTCTTGAATTTTAATTATTTAGCTGTTATTTTTGAGGGAGAAATTCAGATTGACAAAAACAGACAGTATACAGTATATCTATATATATAGTTATCACTCTCAAGTTGGACAACTACTACAGTATATTTAAGGGATAAACGTATACTACATTCACATACAGTTCATCTGCATGCACACTGTCAAGCTAAACCACTGACTAAGAGAGACATATAGCCTTGTCATGTTTCCAGCCTCATGCATTGTGTTCCTCCCACCACACTGCCTTTTTCCTCTATGAAGTGGGTTCCTAAAACCTCAACTAACCCGAGTCAGAGCTGTAATGTGGGCTGCACCGACTTAAAACATAATTACAGCCCACAGCAACAGACATCAGTTTGTAAGGGGATGCTTAGTCTGACAAATTGAAGGAAATTATCCATTAGTAATTTATCTACTTTGTTTACTTGATGTCTTCAACTTCAACTTAACACAATACAATCTGAGTGTGAATGTTTGAAAGGGCCTTGGTATATTATAGAACTGCAATTTGAGCCAAAGAGTCTGTCAGTGTGTCAGTGCCTAAAGTTTCATGGGTGTGGGGGAAGTGTTTTAATAGAGGGATATATAATAAATTTGCAAATCTCCTACAGCTGCGGATGGAGACTCTTGGGAGAACTTACCCAAATGTCACTCCTGCTCCCTTGTCCTGCATAACAACTCTATCCACTGCAAGGAGAACAGCTTCTACTTCATCTACGCCCAGGTCAACTTCATCAAGCCCTCTGAAAGCAGCCCGAACAATAATCCAATAAAATCTGTGATTTTGAAAAGAAATGCCAGTAATGGTAGAAGTACAAAGACACTGGTTGAGGGGATCTTCCCAAACACAACAGAGGGCTCTGTGTGGGTTGCCAAGATTGTCAACCTCCAAAATGGAGACAGTGTCAGCTTAGATATCACAGACAAAGCTAAATACCGAAATGACAACACATTCTGGGGGGCCTATCAGCTTCATTAGCACTGCTGCTCTCCATTTTTTGTTACTGTACAAGAGAGAATCATTTGGGGTTGTAGTGGTATGTTATTAGGAGGCCTATAGTAATATGTTTAACAAAAGCTGTTCATCACCTGTATTTTGATTGATGTTTAACTCAAAACTACTCAAATTCGCAGGGATCTAGTGACGAACAATTATTACAAGTTATTTTTTGCAGGGTAGTGAAGCCTTTTAATCATCTTTGTGGCCAACACGGAACACTAAAATGCTAAAAGCTCCATCAGGCACTGTGAGGAAGATTTTACTGACCAAATCCTGTTGGCAAAACAACATACTGCATCAGTCCAACCTTAGCAGTATCTCTACTCTTCAGAACCAGCTGGCTCTGACTCCTGAAGTTGAGTGGCATTTGGTCTTGTAAATATTTAAGCTAGCTGCATTTTAAATTAAAGTAAAGTGTGACTGTCTGGGGCATGACTATGTTTGTTTTCACTGCTATGTTATTGTGTAATTTATGAAATGGAATATTATATTGTTGTGGTTTGATTTTGGGGGGGTGGGGGACATGAAAGCAGAATAAAAAATATATTATTTCAAAGCCATTGAATCAATTTACTGACTTGTGCTGTGTGGTAGCTGACCACATGGTGGTGCCACTTTCCTCCAAATAATAGGTAACATGAAAGACTGCATGTACCATGTATCAAATCTGTTACCCACTAACCATTATTTTCACAGATCACATTACACAACCTGGTAACACACTCTAATCATCTATCAGTTTAAAAAAACATTCCACTGTACCACAAATATATTTCATGGATGCCTGAGAAACCTGAGTATTGTTTAAAAAACATGCCAAGACAAAACTTGGTGTTACTCATCTTACTTGCCCAAGGCTAATACTGTAGCCTACACACATACAGTAGACCAACTTTAATTAGACATTATGTAGAGCAGGCATGAGCAACAGGTGCAAAAAGGAAACCACATATTTGACATCAGTTTGCTACTTCCCCTTTTACAACACATCCACAGACATGTTTGAACTTGAAACACCCTCTGATCAAACTCGTTGGAGGAAGTTTGGTTCCACTCATGCATTAAGTGCTAAAACTACTCTTAGACTCAAAGTTGAGTAGGCTGTATATGATAAGTATAATAAATCATAATGTTACTCACAATGTAACTTGTCTGTCTGTAAGTCTGACCTTAGCACTGCGGTCCTTCAACAACACACTAAACTGCTGATATGTCACAGCAAAAAATTAACGACTATATTACAACCTGATTGTGATTCATTTGCTAAACTGAACAAGAGAAATCAATCCAGCAAACATTAAGACTTTGAAACAGCTCATAAGCCCAAAAGCCCATGTTAGCACTATTTTTACTTTTCTTAATGCAAATAACTGGTAAAATGTGGGAGAACACAGATTTATCAAGACTAATAGTCTACAGCCATACTAGCAGCTCTGTGAGGCTTATCTCAGGCAGAGTCATGCTTTGAGCTATATGCTAACATGCTCTAAATGACAATGCTAATATGGGCTTTGTCTAAAATCACTCCTTATTTACGTAGAGTAGTAAGTAAGTAAGTCCATGGCATAGTAAATGTGTGAAATCTCAATTTACTTTACTGAGTGTGTCTTGTACAGGAAGGAATGAGTGAATGACAGATGGAGCGATTTCAGACACAGCCATGGTGTTTAGCAGGTATAATGTTAACATTGTTCACCACCTTAGTTTAGTGTGTTAGCATATTAACATTACCACTACCAATACTTTAAAGATAGGATTGACTTCACTTTATGTGATGTGGCAAACATTCCCTTTGCATGAGGCAATTACTAGTCATCTTATCTGTGTTCACACAATTTGTGAACATGTGGGCCACTTTAAGATCAGTATTTAGAGAAAGCAGGCAGCATGACATCACCTTCAATAGGTAGGCTGCTGACTTCCTCAAACATTTTCTACAACACTTCCTTTGTTCCCTTGCACCTTTGTAGTTCTTTAGGGATTGTTTGTCAGGCTTGTCATTTCTGTGTGTTTCCTCTGACGACATTTTGAGTTTTACAGAGAAATAGAAAGGTTTTTGTCTGAGTGTAGAAATATATTTGCCTAAAAGATTTGAGAACAAGACAAGTAATAAAGACAAAGTTAAGGCACATCTTGTGGAAATATGGGGGAGATTAGTATATTAATATATATACATGTTTGTTTCCAAAATCTCCTTACCAAGTTGAATGGTTAAAAACCACAATATTTTCACATCTAAATACCCCATTACAAGTAAAAGTCCTATATTCAGAAATTTACTAAAGGAGAAGAACAGGCATATTATTGACAAATTGTACTTAAACTATCAAAAGAAAGAGGCAGTTATTCTGTGGCTGAATAGCCCCTCTCAGAGTACTTACCATTGTTTAATAATTTTTGGATTATACAGGCAGATTAATTATCAAGGTAGAGCTAAATGACTGCTTTACAAACTGGTGGTTGGTTTCAATTCATTTTAATGCATCATATTTTATCATCTCAGTCATGTTTTGTATGTGACGTCCTTATCTGCAAAGTAAGTGAGTCCTCAAACATGCACTTAAGTATAGTACTTGTATAAATGTACTTAGTTACATTCCACCATATATGTGGGTTTAAGTTGTGATCTACAGTATGAATGCTTTGAAACCATCCAGAAGATAAAACAAATATGTAAAAGTATTTTGCATATAAATTTCATGAAAATGCAAATCACCATTAAGAAAATTCCCTCTCAGCATTAAGCTATCTAATCTCATCAGTGTATTTACAGGTAGGTAATAATATTAAAAGTTAAGATACCTTATTGCTTTTCTGCAAAGAGAGTAAACACAAAAAAATGACACTTCCTGATGTGTCACTCACACTTCCTGTCTCATGCATGCCACCATTAGATGAAATTAGCTGTTATTATATGTGATTATGTGTTTTTATGTAATAATACAACAAATGGGGAAAAACATGATCATTACTTCCTCTGTCTTGGCAGTGATGATATATTATCAAATGTCAGTCACTTGACTGTGTACTTCCTATATTCCAGTGTGATTATTTTTTCTGTATATATGTTTGAGGTTTGTGCTGTGGAATTGTAGCTTTGGTCACATGTGCATGCTAATGTTGAGCGGCCAAATACTAATAGCTGGCCTTGTGGGGAAAACTTTTTTTGTTGTTGTTGTTTTTTTAAATTGTGCTTTTTTGAGTTTCCAGTATGTGGAAATTAAGTTTCACTCATTTCAGACACTGCATCATTTGCAAAGTCAACTACAGCTGTTTTTGCTTTGCAGCAACAAAGGTCAAGGTAACAAGTTTAGGAGGAATCCACAGACAAACATGAAAGGTATGAAATGTGGGAATTGATTCCCTGAAGATTAGAGAAGTAGACCTAGGACTGGACTGTGACATTTAATTCCCCAGCAACTGGGAAGATCTGAAAACATTGCTTTCTGCCTCTCTCAAAAAATACTGCCCTTTAGCTAGCCACTGTACCTCCAACTTCTGCTAAAAGCACAATATGTGAAACTGAAGAAGAGCTTGCATGCTCTGCAAGTGCCCATATATAGATCAACGAGAGTAAACTCTACTGTAACAGTACTGCATCTCTTAGTCACAGTGGACTGCATTTGTCAGCAAACTGCAGCTGTCTCACACACACAGTCTGGACAGATTTAATTTGCAGTTTTAATCCAAGGTTATCTACAGTAATGGTTATCTGGGCTTTGTCATGTTCTTTCTGGTTTTGAAACTTGAGTCTAGTGTTATTATGATATATCAAAGCTGCTTTAATGCTCTTATCAATATTTTTATATGAACAATGGATCAAATGACTGGGTAATGTGAAAGGTGTAATGTTTATTTGATTCTAGCAAGTCCTTGAAATTGCATGACAAAATATGTAGTTTGTAAGTGCCCTTTAGAGCAACACATAGAAGGATTTTCTCATCTGACGTCAGCAAGACAACCCCATTTATAATAATAAATAATAATAAAATCTGTTTTATGATCTGACAAATCTATGCTTGAGGTTTGGTAAGGATTAGGGAAACATTGTTTCTTTTGACAGGTCTCTCAGTTCTCATCTACTTAGTTTTTTATTGACAAAGCTCTGATAAACCTACTTTACCCTTCCTGGCCAGCATCAAACAGCTACTACCTGAAAGGAGAGGGTCAAAATATGACATTATATACATGATTATTGCTGCAAACGTCTGCTTAATCGGATTTTGAAAAAACACACAAAAATCCCTTTAAATCAAGTTACTTTTCGATTTTGTTTTACAGTTCTACTAACAAATATTTTTTCTCAAATTCACAAAATGTCTGGGGAATACATCAGATAATGAAAAGTGAACAGCTCAATAACTAGTAAAAGAAAACAAAAGTATTTTCAATAATTTTTTCCTACTGAACTGTGGCCATTGCATAATTTTTTCTAATAACAACTCATAAAACAACATTGTGATAACATTGCTGTCATGGCTAGTAGTGGTCAACCTGGAGTAGACAGGTTAGCTTTAGCTTTAGCTTGCTTGCAATTTTGCTAGCCCCCCGTTTGTCACGCGACCGACCCTTGCCTTCCAGGTGCTTATATCACGAGAGTTCAACTACGTCATATTTTTAGGACAGTTTTAGGACAAACTTATCTTTTAAATTTTCTATCTATTCTATTTTGGATCCGGTATCCACTTCTAATAATACAGCCATGGCAGTCTTGCAAACTACATGACACACCCACCTTACTACCTGACACGCCCCCTGTGATAACTTCCTGGATTAGTGTACTTATTTTAACCTAAACCATGATGTTTTCCTCAACCTAACCAAGTAGTTTTTGGTGCCTAAACCGTGCGACCATTTAAGGGGGTAGTAGGCGTGTCCTGTAGTACCATGGACCAGGCGAGCAATTCTTGTTAAACTGAACAGCCATCTTTGGGTCTGGAATCCAGTTGTAATAATACATCCATGTGGCTAACCCGCTAATCTCACTTGTTGGTACATGACATAGCGTTCACACAACGTTAGCATTAGATGGTGAACATAGCATTTAAATGCTAAAGAGACAGAGTTGGCAGGGATGTAATTAGAGCTAATAAGAGTGTGAATGCTGGACTTAAATGTGTCACAACATTCCAAAGCTAAAGTTTCTCCATAACTATGTGTAAAACGGAAGCTAATACGTTTACCATAGCAACTTTATAAGGTGATAATATTTCACAGTTGTATAAACCTTACTGCACTGCCCCCAAGTGGCCACATCAATATGCCTATAGGCTTAATGCACTATAGCCATTCATGTCTGTTAAATTATTATCATAATTTCTCCTTGTTATGGTAACATTGTACTTACCAAAGTTGAGATCTCCACTGAATCGCCGAACAAAGGCCAACAAGATCAGAGAAGTTGGAAACAAGTCAGGAGATGACTCAGATCATCTTAACCACTTTATTTGGAGGTAAAATCGAATGTAAGAGCACCCAAAATGTTGGTATTGATCCCTTATTGTACATAAAAAACGTGTGCAATGCATGCATAACTACAGCAAGCACTGTAGGTAAAAGTTGAAGCAGGAAGTTAGTATGCGTCAGATGTCTGTTGTAATGAGTGTTGACAGTATACACCTGAGAAACAATTTTACAATTGACCTTCATTTTCTCAAATAGGTTTGACTACAGATATATTTTTAAACCTGTATGATTGTCTGACTACTTGAAATTCTTGCCCCTTCAGACATAAGCAGTTTCCATGTTCTCTGACATCAGAAATTAACTTGTTGAATATTTCATTATTGCTGATAAGAATGATGGCCAAAAATACAAAAATAAGACCCAAGTTGTAATATATGATAATATAACAGTAGCAGTAGTGATCTATTGGTTTTTTAAATAAGCTCCAGACACATACAGTAGGAAACAAAAAAGTTAAACGCCTAATAGTAAGTAAAGCTAAAGCGTAGTTTCTTGCAGGCATACCGGAGGTTTACAGGCCACCATACTATACATTCTAGTGACAGCGGAAGCCACTTTGCATTTGTGGTTAAACCTCATTCCGGCCCAGTTTATTCCCTTACATATCTCACTCTGAGCCCACACATGGCAACAAGAGTGAATGATGAGATGGAAACCAAAAGCATGTGATGTTGAGTTTTTGCTTCTTCAAAACTGGCACCTGTGATTGTGTCACCAGACAAATCTAAAAATGAAGCTCCTCACATAAACGCGGCACTTTGTTTGTATACAACAGCTTCCTTCCTCCACTTCCTCTCTCCTTCGCCTCCCACCCTCCTTCCACCCTTCCTCTTCCCTTCCTCCCCCTCCTGCCCCGAGGTAATCTTTGTCGGCATTGTGGTTGAGCTCCACTGCGTGGGGGCCACACAATCCTGGGATTTCATGATGCAACCCATGAGCAAAATCAGCAAAGAACAAAAGAGGGCTTTTTCAAAGTGTTCCAGATATCACAGGGGGAGTTACATGTGGGGAATATGTCACCATATGATTAGGAGAGGACCAATAATGATTCAAGCACAGGGAAAGGGCAAGGGCACTTAGATATGATGGATCAAAAGGGGGAGTTTTAGTTTCTGGCTCCATGAAGAGAGGTATTTGTCTCATGGAGGAATCCAGTGGGAGTTTGTGAGTTACATCTATGGTTACATATGACCTCTGACTGGGAAAATTTGTTTTTTATTATCCGCTTGGAAAGGTTCAACAGATTGTACACCATGATAAACATTACAGTATAAGAGGTGGTAAGAACCAGACAAAGTCTTTGTTATTTGCAGAGAAGGTGATCCATTTCTCCCATTTTCTAGGTAAAGTCTCTCCCTTTTTATCAGGGAAATCACATTACTTTAGTTTTTCCATTACATATACTGTATATCCTTTACTACCTCCATCTGTTGTTTAAGACTGTAAGGCTTCCTTTTGATATTATTATTATTGTTATCACTTTTTGCAGAAGAATTTTACAGAGATACAGATCATTTATTCTGTTATCAATTCAAGTTGGAATATCTTACTGTCCTTGAGAATTTCATAACCTAAAATGACTCTAAGGGTTAAAGATTTTTTCTTCTAAAATATGGTAATCCTTTAACATGAAAATGTGGGAATCATTAGCATTAATGCTGCTTTTAACGTGAGGTGTGATGAAAAGTAAATTTAATTCAACCAGATTTCTTCCATTTCCTGGAGTTTGTAGATGTGTGTTGTGTTACGCATGTAGAATGCCAATCCTCTTTTATTTCTACATTTAGGTCCGATTTCCACTTTACTTTTACATAAAGAAAACTAATGTCTTTATGGATCTGTAAACCCTATCATGGTTATTTTTGAAAGAATAAAGTTGGGAATGTAGCTTGTGTATGAGCTTGGAGTACAGTCTGAGTTCAAAGGCTATCATTACCAAGAACTTCATTTAGTGAATCTTCTTATGATTAATTGAGAGGTGATGGGTGAGACGAACTTCAAGGAAGTGATGTAGGTATTTGTTTGTGTGTCATGTGAGTGCATATGATCATTGTGACAATGAAATCATCCTGCATCTTGCTCAGTTAGTGTTTACAAGTTGGAATAAAACAGTCAAAGCCGGGAGGTGCGATTTCACTGCTATTTTCACACTCGTACACACACACACACACACACACACACACACACACTTAAAACTACAGTGCTCATATTCAACGCCGCAGTACTTGACATGTTTCCAAGAGACACAAACACACAATTCACTCAAAGCCACTCTGCACTCTGAGCAAAAAGAGCAATCAATAAAAAAGGGAAACAGAATGAGAAAGGGATGCTTAAGTGTTGCTAAAAATAACTGCCAAATAATAACAGAACATTCTGGACATTTCAGGCATGTGTGAGACGAAAAGTCCACGTATTACAACATACCATCTCAAACCAAAAAAAGTAAGGTGAAAGTGAAAAGGAGGAACCAAGGTATAGACAGTGGCCAATAAGGAGAAGTTTAAAAACCTGTTTGTCGAGTGAGTTGCCTCATCTCCCAGTTCTGAAACAGAAAGACCAGAGCTGCCGAGGTAGTTTTCAGAAGTAATCTGTGTTTTTATGTAAATTCAAAGATGTCATAAGGAAAATGGAACAATATCCTAAATCCCCACTATGGTACATCAATGCTTTTAGGAATAATATATTAAATTGCAATGATCAGTAATTTATTGACATTTTATATTTTTATAATTTCTTACTTGATGACCATATCTTTTAATGTATATATTTTGTTTCTAGGTATCTTGTCGTGTAAATGTTTCCTTGACTGAAATATTTACAATTTACAAATATGACATATAAATTAAAGGTTGTATGTATACTATTTTAGGTAATGTTGTATATCACCTGTGTAAGGCAGATGGGTTTACAGTTTAGGTATGTGGCTACTGAACCTCTGCTTGTACTAAAATGAATAGTATGAATGATAATATAGTAATACACAACTGTAATAACATGAAATATGTCCTCATAGGAGACGTTATAACTGTTCACAAATACCATACACATACCATAAACACTTAAAATGTACTTGTATCTGTTTACAATTACATTATATGGGATTATAAACCACTTATTAAAGGTTTATACAGTGCTTAGACAAGTCAAAAAAGCTCATGAACAGGTGGATTGTTTACTCAATTTCACATTTTTGTGGTATTTCAAAACATCTGGTCTGAGGTGACCTCAAAATGTTGGTGAGCCGTGGATTCATGTGTGAATCTCAGCAGTTACAGACAGAGCTTACATTCGGTGGGTGGCTCAAGTCAGTAATGAACTCAATATGTGTTTATGGTTTCATGACTTTGTGTCTGCCTCAGTGTGTGTGTACAGTTTTTGTGTCTGTAAAACAATGTGTGTGTGTGTGCATATCACTTTCCTATCCTGAAACCACAGCTCCTGTTGGGTTCTGCGCTCTGGTAAAACTCCACTAAAAATTCTGTGACTTCTCTTTCCCTTAGGTTGCGCTGCTGCTGCCTTTTGCACTGTCTCCACTTTCAGAGTGACATCACTGGAGTTTCCCTCTGCAGAAGCAGCTTCCACTGCATAAATACTACAAGCTCTCTCGCAGAGGTTCACTCTAACACAATAGCAACACAAAGAGAGAAGTACCACCAAAGAGCTCTAGAAGCACTTGAGGACACAGACACAGCATCCAGTAAAGTTTTTAGTTCGTAGATATTTTAAAACAGCAAGCAGTTGTGAACAGCATGGCTGCGTACACAACCACACTGGGTGACGTGGAGATGGGTCTTGAGGACAGGACGGTGGTTTTGGTAGAAAAGAAGTCATGTACAGGGCAGATATGGAAGGCGTCAGGGGCCCTTCTCATTGTGGCCCTTTGTTTGGGAGGGGTCCTGCTGTTTGCTTGGTGCTGGAATGGAAGGCCAGAAATTATGGTAAGGAATCTTTTAAAACCCTGTATTTTCTGAGAAAAAAAGGAAATGTCTGTGTTTCTTTCTGTAATCTGTTTTATTCTCTCCATACAGATGCAATCAGGCCAAACAGAAGCACAAATAAAGGAGGACACATCGAAGAAAACAGGTGATTACATGCATGGGTGTTAATTTTTTTAACAGGCTGGTTTTGTGAGACATATTTGAGTATTTGTAGATGTTTTAAGACAAGCTCACATTTGTCTTCCTCTTCTCAGATCCCCACTACACGCTGAGCCGAATCAGCAGCAAAGCCAAGGCAGCCATCCATTTAGAAGGTGAGTCATAGCCAACCTTGATTTGATCCTCAGCAAACAATGGGCTCATGATCTCGGCTTTCAGAAGAACTTTTCAGACTCTTTCTTCCACTTGTGTGATACTTGGAGTTTCTGTTTTAAAAGCAAAATAAGGAGGTTGTTGCTTAAGTTATTTATTGGCTTCAGACAATCTTTCATTTCACGCATTCCAACAACATACCTGTTAATTATTCCCTCCTGTGGAGAGCAGAACCAAGATGAGTCAAGGCTGTAACAGCGCTTTCTTGCTCTTTTTCCAGGTACCTACAACGATGAGAGTTCGGAAAACGAGCTGGAGTGGAGAAACGATCAAGGCCAGGCGTTTGCTCAGGGAGGTTTCCAACTAGTGAAGAACCAGATTGTTATCCCACAAACTGGCCTCTACTTCGTCTACAGCCAGGCATCGTTCAGAGTCTCCTGCAGCAATGGCGACGAGGAAAGAGCGGGAAAACGCCTCACTCCTCTCAGCCACAGGGTCTCGCGTTACTCAGACTCCATAGGAGGCAACGCCTCTCTGATGAGCGCGGTGAGGTCGGTGTGCCAAAACACAGCTAAGGAGGACAACACATCCGGACACGGCTGGTACAACGCAATTTATCTGGGTGCAGTGTTTCAGCTAAATAAAGGAGACAAACTGTGGACGGAAACCAACCAGTCACCAGAGCTGGAGACCGAAGAGGGCGAGACTTTCTTCGGTGCGTTTGCACTATGAAATGACTCTTGTATCTATGTGATACTAACAGGAAAGATACAAAACTCTGCACAGTGCCATTCATTTTGGCTTTTTTTAAAACATTGTTTTTTTTTTGTTTATTATTATTCATCTTCATGGTGAAGTAGAAATGTTTAAATCTCAAAGGAGATAAAGCTTGTAGCCAAGCAGGCGCTGCGGATTTTTAAAAAGTCCTATAAACTGTAACAGTTTGCAACATTATTTCTACTTTGAGCACTTTTTGTACATTATTTATGCTGACCTGAGATTGTAGTATGCTGGACTTTTTCTGCTCTATCAGATCATGACACAGTTTAGTTCAAGGGTTATGATGATAATGGTCAGAGCTACTATCATGTACTTTTACAACTTGTATGTATTTATTTGTATTTATTTATATTTAAATCTTTGGGTTAAAGATGATATTTATATACTTAATTAAAATGCAAGACCACAAACAAAAATGTTGTGCTACCTCGAGGAATGGACTTATTTCATACCAAATAGAATTTTACAGTTGAGCTGGCAAACAGCTCCAGCCATCCAGGGCAGTAGCTCACACACACATACTGCATCTGGCTCCTTCTATGATTTGGCAAACGTTTCTTGAAATTCCTCCCCAGACAGCAAATACTTCCTTTGTTAGAAAAGACAAGACGAGGGGAATTTCCTACTTTTTAAGTCTTGCTGAAAGCTTGGTCAGGTGGAGGCCCACAGAAGCCTCAGCCCAGAGCGGGATTTCCCCAGTGACACCCCCCACCCCCACCCCTCACACCCTCTCACCCACACACACACAAACACCCTACATCCTCCCTCCTCTTCCACACCACCAGCCCCTTCACTCTGTTACCTCATTCTTCATCTTCAGTCAGCTGGAAAGAGGCATGACATGGGAGATAGTTTGTGTCTGTCTGTGTGTGAGAGAGACTGCAGTGTTTATGTGACTGCATTTAGTGAATATATATATATATATATATATATGTGTGTGTGTGTGTGTGTATTGCGGGATCATGAGACTGTAGCACAGCTGGTTTTGCCACATCTAAAAACACGTTATACAAATGTCAGATGTACTTGGGAGGAATTTGTCTTTTTATCTACAAACATCCACTTATTGTCTCAGTAACATGGTTCCCGCAGGCCTTCACAGCTGGTTATTGTGTTGAAAACCACTACCCACATTCATTTAATGATCTCTTCTTAATAAACTCAACCTGACAGAGTTAATTGCTCAAAAGGTCATTGTGAGTCAGAAAAGCAATAAATAGCTGGTGACATCTAGTGGATAATGTAAACATGCTCAGCTGTGGTAGCCATGGGATACTGAGACACAAGATAAGGAAGCTGTTTGAAAAAAAAAATTCTAAAAAGATAAAATGCTGGAAAATTAATCATGGAATAGTGGGTTTATATATAATTTCCATATATATTATATCAGGAGTTACCTGGGCTGAAAAAAGCTGATGAAAAGTCCACAAATATATTTTAGATTTTCAGGTAATTAGTAAGTAAGTATCACTTTTGTTCAAGAGTGCAGTGTTTTGGAAATTAACCCTGTAATTCCCTATTGTTTATTGAACCTGTCCTTACACTGAAGCAAAAGGTACCACTGAAACAAACAAAAATTCCCAATGAAAAAACAGTTATTTTATTTATGGTACTCATATATTTGCATACACATACTTTCATACTCATAGACATAAATATATTAACATTTAAGATCTTAGATATGGTGAATACAAATATCATCAAATCCATGTATATTGTCATATATGTGCAAGATAATAGAACACATCCTAAATTATTTCTGCATTCATATGTTACACTGTCTGATCCAGGTACTGTACAGTTAATAAATATGGCCTATTTCATTCATTTATGTCCTGTGACTCTCCATACCCTGAGCTAAAACGTATTAGAATAACAGAAACATAAAGTGGAATAACCATAGTTTCTTCAGTTTAAAGTGCACACTGAAATATATATGTTTAAAAATATTTGACAAAGTATTGTTTTACCTGATGGTAAAGCTGTGGTATCATTGTTTTATAGCAGGGTTGTGCTGTAGCTACCTAGAAATAGCTCATGAATGAAATAGTCCAGATTAACTGCTGAATAAATGTCACATTACTTTCCATATATCCTTCTTTGATTCATTTACAACTTATCCAAAGGCAAAATGGGAAAGAAAAATAATTTAAAAAATAGCATCCATTCAGATTGTCTGTTAAAACATAACAAATAATCCTCATAAAATAAAAAAGGTTTACAAGAATGATGTGTAACAGATTCACATATACAAAAATCTTGAGGAAAAAACTGTGCTTTCTCTGAATATCTACAGAAATAGCCATCGTAGAAGCCCCACACCGCACTGCTGCTGTAGAAATATTATTTGGCTTTTATTTTCAGGAGAAAGTACAAACTTTGAAAAGTTGGAGTTTTCCAGTTTTGAATTAAAATATCCCCTAACACTTACTACCTACAAACTGTGATCAATCACCTACAGCGGTCTGCATTAGATTCAGGATGAGGGATTTATTTGATGGCTACTACTGTACTATACTACTAAAAAGATACAACCCAAATCTTAAAAAATACATTGTAAAACATTATTTCAAATGGGAAAACTATCAAAATCTTTCTTACACATCAGCAAGTGTTGATCATTTTCTCCTTTAAAATGGGTCTAATATTCGTACATCAGCAAAGGACTGGATTTTTAAGATGCAGTGTTGTACTTGAATACACAGTCCTGACAACAGACATCCATACATGCCAAGCTCACTGGCCTTTCTAAATTATGGCTCTTTAATAATGCACATTATCACTTTTCAGTGAAACCAGTGTTCCACACAGTTGAGCTCAGCTGCTCTTGAGAGGACTCATTGGAAATAAACTGTACATAGTTTTGTCCCTTTATAAATTTCAGTTTTTACAACTCTCCTGAAAAGTAAACAAATAATTTAACAACTCCATGACAAAACAGATCAGATATTACAGAACAATATAAATCACTACTGTATGTGCTTGCCTAGTCAACAAACTCGAGAGACAAAAGGTGGAGACGATATAGCAAAGACATAAACACAAACGTTTCCTTTAGAGATCGTTGACGCGGCGTCTCCACAACAGAACGAGATAACGAATGAGGGAGAGGAATGATTAAGGGATCTATCCGTTCACTTGACCTTTGAAAAGAACCTCAAGTGGTGTTAATCTGAGATGTGCTTGTTGCCGCGTCGTTGCTGGGATGAACACAGTGAGATCAAAACTATGAGGACAGGTGTTACCTGCGTGACTCTCCCCGAAGCTGCCAAGTGAGACACACTCCCCTCTACTTATTTGTGCTTCCACGCTGTTTTCTTTTTAAAACAGTGTCACAACACAGCTGTGCTCATCACAGAAACAAGTGAAAGTCACAGTGTCTCCTTGTGCTTTGTGTCCCCCATGTGCATTTCGCAAAAATCCCCACCCCCCCATCCCACCACCCCAAACCCATGTCTTGCCTATTTGTACAGCAGTGGGATCTGGCTGTTGTGACAGTGGTTGCGGCTCATCTTGCTGTCGGCCGGATACAGGTTGGAGGAGTTGGAGAAGGAAGGCGGGAGGGAGTGATTGTCCGTGGTGGGGTTGGGGTAGCCGGGCGGGGGAAGCAGGGACTTGGGATCTGGCTGGGACGAGGGTGGTGGAGCGTTGTGGTTCTGATTCTGGCCCGTGGATGGTCGGCGGCGGTTGCGTAGAGCCTGTCGCTCAGCCAGCTGGTTGCGGAGCGCCGATACCCTCTCTTCTTTCTAAAGACACAAGAGGAGAGGGAGATTGTTGTAGCGATGTCGGTCCGCACATTAAAATAACGCAAGGGTAACACTTAACACACTTTTTTTAACACATGCACATTTAACACATAAGCATTTTTAGCAGCATGTTGATCGAAATACCATTTTGATCATTTTGAGTTCCAGAGTTTTCAGGCCAAATATGTTAGTAAATAAATATATTTGGGGTTTAGACAGTTGGTCAGATGAAACAAGACATCTGAAGATGCCACTTAAAAACTATGATGAGCAATTTTTAAACATTGTATAGAATAAATAATTAGTCAATTAATCTGGAAAATAATCTGCAGATTAATCAATAATGATAGCTAGTTGCAGACCTAATAAGCAGTATGTAACACATATATGGGTTTATAGGGTTTATATATACACACTTTAATGTGGTTGGATAGGCACTATAATGTGGTTGTAAGCAGATATAAGTGTTTATTAATGTATTTGACAACAACAAGACCTCCTTCTCTGGTCACCCATAGGTGGAGGCTAGTGTATAAACAGATAGTGAATGACAATATAGTAAAACACAGTTGTAATAATATATGTCTTCATAGGAGAAGTTATAACCAAATACTGGACATTAATAAACACTATATCCTTATATCAACTACAACTACATTATGGTGTGTTATAATAAACCATGTATTAAATGTTTATATAGTGCGTACTGTAGAAACGCTAATAGGGGGTTGAAGTAAAGTGTTACCCATCTAAGATGAGAAAATCTGTGTGCCACAACAGTAGGGCTGCAACTAATGACTATTTTTGTTGTCGACTAATCTGTTAATTTTTTATTGGATTAGTCGACTAGTCACGATTATTTTTGTCACCCCCCAACCTTAATTAACCCATTTAACTAATTAAATATATTTCAAGTGAATTACTGATCTCTAACACACGGCCTAACTAGCTAACTATTCAGAATGAACACCAGTATCAACGCCAGGGGGAAACCAGGGAAGTAGACAAGACAGCGTAGGCTACTACTATAATTCACAGATTTACACAAACTTGTTGACGATGTGAAGCAGCTGCAGTTTGGTTAGGTTTAGCCTCCAAAAATACTTGGTTGGGTTTAGGTACTAAAAGTACTTGGTTGGGTTTAGGTACTAAAAGTACTTGGTTATGGTCAGGAAAACATTGTCGTTTGGGTTTAGTCACAGATTCACAGCCCGAAAACGTTTGAGCACATTTTCGATTCGCCATCAACTTTGGTAGAACTCCCCATATTCAAATTCTACAAAGTTGATTTCTCACCTCAAAACTGCTCGAAAGTGTACTTAGTGATTAAATAGCATACAAAACTTGTAAAAACGAAAGCTGTCCTGCTGTTCGCGTCTTTCTCCGTTGCTTTACGCTTCTTGCAGGAAAGCTTCTTCCTCCTGAGTAGTTTTACAGTCAAGCAGTCATGGCAGACAATGGAAGCGATACTGCCCCCAGCACTTCCTGTAGTGCATTGCAGTTAGAAATAAACAACCAGAAATGTTCCTAATATGAGCAAAACCCTTTTCCACTACCTTCCTTGGAAGAAAATATTGCATGAAATCCTTTTCATATGTGGCCAACAATGGCACATACACCAACTTCCTGCCTAGCACAATAGCTTTATGAAGCCATTCACGGTTTTAGAGCAGAAGGATCTCCTAGCACAAATGAGTGTGACATTACAAGTCGCGACCTTTTTATAAAAAGTCTATGGTTTCGACAATGTGGATATTTTACAAGAGCGGACCAGGTAAAGAGACAGTGAACACACCAGTCAGATGTTATTCGGTTTTTTAGTGACTTTATACAGCCTAGCCTACTACTGATGGAGAAGTCACCGAAGCGGACATACAGGGAGAGAGAGACGGTAAAACCGTCTGCAAGGTACGAGCTCGACTTGCCTCGCCTTTTTTTTTCGTATCACCTCCGTCTTATCTGTCTTAACATTCTGAGTAATGTTGAAACGTTTTAACTTAGATCAAGAGACAGCTGTTTGTGGGTCTCTGGTGTGTGTGTCGCATTGAACATTTCGTCGCGGCAGTTGTGTGTGGCGTCGCTATGACGACTAGCTACATAGAGGGGTGCCATCTCTGGGTACTATGCGATGGAAAACCTACCTACCTTACCTATATGTCCATTAATATATGTATTATACAACATCTGCCTCCTAAATGAATTTAAATGTACTTAATGTGTCTGGCACTTACTAATGTGTATGTGTCTCTATAATGTAGCATATATAATGTCTTCACCTCCTGAATGATCTTTTGCAGCTCCCTGTTCTCTCTCTCCAGCTGCCTGGATTTTTCCTCGTCATTGTTGTTGGTGGACGAGCCGGTCTTCAGAGTGTCCTGCTGCTCCGACTGCCACTCGCCACGAGTGATGAGACGCCGCATCTGGACCATCACAGGGACAGGAAGTCAGTAAAGAGCAAAATCAGGCCTGAGTGTATTGGCGTGCTGAATGAATATTGCAGCTATATACAATTATACACTTATTGAGAACGCATTTTTAAAATCTGCAGCCCTTTTAGCCATGTCTGCAGGCTTCAAGATGTTTTCATGACTGAAATTATATGTTCATTACAATGGCGAAATCCTTGGCACTTAATGCTCACTCCTGTTAGGTTTCTGCACTGCGCTCCCAGAAATAGGGGGTAATGTTTATTTCCTTGGATTTTCAGCAAATGAAGTTTGAATTTCTGTAGGTGGCACTCTTTCCTCTGTCTGCACAGTGTGCAGCAGTGCTCATGTGCACTATTTATTCAAACAACTCATTGTAGGTGCTGCCAGACATGTAAAATGTCTCACTTTGTTTGTGCTAGAGTATTTTTTTTAACAACACGAAACAGCAGTTTACAGCAGCTAAACATATAAAAACTTGTTATATTAACTATCTAACTTAACAGATTATTGTTGTAATGGCGGAATCACAGATTAAATATTTGATCATTTTAGTAGCCGTCTTATTTGATGTCACAGCCAATCCAATATTCCACTGCACACAAAAATAAAAGCAAGTTTTGTCGGTTTTTAAAATGCAGAACAACTTTTCATGCAACATGCACTACAGGCTGGACTTTCTTCCTATAGACAGTGAGACTGGCAGGTTTGACCTTTGGTTTAACTGCAATATGAGTGAACTTTTCAGTGTGTGCAACAGTTCCTAAAGGTGTTTCTGACGAGTACCTTGGGTACAAAAAGCACCACCAGAGTGATATAGGCAGAAAAGACGATTGCTAGAGAGGCAAAGGCAAAGGCGGCGTCCTGCTGTGAAGACAGGATCATAGTCACTGGAGCCGTGATCAGGCACAACACCTGTAGAGAGAGAGAAAGACCAATACAGAGAGAGAGAAACGGAAAGAAAGAGAGTTGGAACAAAGGATAAGGAAAAGGAAAAGTGAGGTTTAAAGTAAAGAGAAAGAAGGAGGCAGGAGGGGTTAGAGGAGTGGAGGTGCAGAATAAAGCAAAGTGTGAGAACGAGAGATCCAGAGAACGAGAGGGGAGGAAAATCACATCCATAAAAGCATTAGGCATCTGTTTATCATTCCGGGTAGGGCTCCCATGTGAAAACAGCATTAAAAAGTCATGACTGAAGTGGCAACAGCGCGCTGACAATCACCACATTGTCGTCTCATCAGGGCCTAGAGCTCGCAGCTTAGCAAAGAGGAAGGAGGTCCCTTTACAGATGCCATTAACTATTGAAATCATCATAAAACTGTGATGTGTATATCATAACATTAAATAATAACATTAGACTTGTCTCACATTATGGAACTATGTGATGAAATGAGCATGCAAACTGCATTTAACGCTCTCATAAATAACCATGAATAATGATCAATGATAAATCCTCTCCTTGATGGAGGAGGCGAGATCAATCCATTTACTAATTACATATCCACAAAGTATAAGCTAATAAATGTTAGAATGCTCATTAAGATGCTTCATCTTTTATTTATTATTAGGAATCCATGAAAGCAAAGGAGATTTTAGTAAAATGGCTGTTAAAGACTAAAAAAAATGTTTTCCTGATTTTGATCAAAACAGAAAAACTCCTCTGGCAGTGACACAAACCACTTTTTTCAGACATATTACATCAATTACAAAGTTACCCTGTGTCAAGCATATCAGGAAATGGCAGCAAAGCGAACGTGAAAGTGGCTAAAGCGAACATAATGACAGCCATTTCAGTGTAAAGTGCATCCTAGGGGCCTCAGTTTAGGATGATTCACTTGCTGTTAACAGCCACAGAAAAATGTTTATGACTGACAGCAGCGTTCACCACTGTACTTTAGGGTCTACATGGGTAAACCTATTCCTGCTATAGCGCAAGGTAAAAGCTTCATACAAAACACTGTGTATATCATATCTGTGATCCAGACACAAAAATGCATACAAACAAATGCATAACTCATATTGGTCACAGATTGCATCCCATAGTCTATATATGGTCAGTATTAAAGCTAAAGTACAAAGCACTCAACTACAAAACTAAGGTATCCTTGAGTTGCATTAGATGGTGCCACAATAATAATTTGTGATGTACCCTTTCATATTTTATGGATATTTTTTTAGTGGCATTTTGCCTTTACTGACAGTGACACTAGAGAGAGACAGAAAGGCAGGGGAGAGGGAGGGGATGACATGCAGCAAAGGGCCCAATCTCAAACCACTGAGGTGAGGACTCAGCCTTGATATGTGATATGCGCTCTACCAGGTGAGCTACCAGGGCGCCCCTATTTTATTGAATTTCACAAGTACATCCCACTGACAAGAAGTTTTCATTTTATGAAGGAGACCTGAAATATGACTGTTGGTATCATGGCACAACAACACTATAAGCATCAAATATATAATTTATACAAGCAGCAGCTTTTGCTGGCAGTTTTATGATTGGCACAGATATGCGTCCAGGGATCTGCATTTTAGAGTATAAAATCTCAAGAGGTACTTGCGGAAAACCTTGAATATTTTATATAAAAGTCTGTCTGTGTGTCTGCTCCAACCAATCGTTGTACCAACATGTACTTTTCAGTATTTTCTACTAGATCATCAATCTGTGATATTCATCACATCCCAAAGGTTGTTTGGAGAGAAAAAGTTGTAATTTCTTTCCACTGTGCCCACAATGGACTTATTGTTGAATGATTTTTGAAGATTGATGCTAAACGGTGAATCAAGAAACCTTGAAACTACATAATTTTTACACTCCATTGTAGCTGCACGGTAAGTATTTCAATGCAAGGTTCTGTCAGGTTTAGCCAGTCATCTACTCAAATAAGGAAAATACACCACAGAGGCACTAAGGGAGCATCAAGTTATTTATGAACTCTATTAACTTTTATAAGCTGCAAAGAGCAGCCCCTTGAGAATGTGGTTTTTAAGCCCTTGCAGCTAAAATGTCTTTACATGCTGTTCTGTTGCCTGTTTTGCACTGAAATGAGCAGGAAAGTGGCTTCTGGAAGCCAGAAATCTCAGCACCAAGCAAAGTAATCATGGAGGCCTTGGCGTTGATTAACTCCCCACAGATATACTCCATTTTGTGCTAGGGGGTAATAAAAATTGTACTTATTGCCACTTGAATGTTATTCAGTGTGCTACAGATTGGTCTTTGCAGAGAAAGCAAAACAGCAGACAGCAGCACCAAGAAACAGGAGTTCAGGCGTGACGGTGTCATTTCTTTTTTGGACTCACAGCAACGTTGTAAATAGCCATCCCCACGGCCCGATGGTCATTGATCTTTTCTGTGGAGACAGACTTGGTCTCGTAAGCCAGAAATATGCCCAGCAGCAGCAGCAGACCCTTGTAGCCATAAACCACACCTACAGAAAGAGGGACACAGTGGGAGAATGTAGGTGAGTATGCAGCCATGTTTGCATGAACATGAAAATAATATAATATGATTTGTACAATGCTACTGAGGCACTAATTTAAGTAATGCAGAGCCCATGTATATAATGGTGTATGGAAACAAATGGAAGCCACATGTTTTGTAGTTCTGAAAGACAAAATTATTGATGGCAAGTTAAAATCTGAAACTGAAAGCTAAAGCTAAAGAATTGATCCAGAAATTAACCAAACTATAAATAAGTGTATGTTTTGTTATTTTGTTATTCTATACTTTGGCATTTAGTTTTAGCTTTTCATTTACAATTTTGTCTTTTAAATTGACAAAACATTTGGCTTCATGTGTTTCCATTTATGTAAACCAGATCTTAATTAAAGTGAGCATAATCAAACTGTAACAGCAGACAAACACACACCTGTTAGGACACACAGCATTAACACTTTGGTTGTATTTTTTAAATTCTGGTCTAGTTGCTTGTGTGCTCAGCACCACGTTTTTTATGCAGACAGAGAGTGTTCTTAATAATATTTTGGACCAAGTCTTTGAAGAACCACAGAATATGCTGAGCATATTGTAGGATCTAGTGATAGCAACCTTAGTGACATATTGAGGGACAACAGAAGATATGAGGGAGAACTACACATCCTGTGAAAATGGTTAAATAATTGGCTTGGAGACAAATTCATTACAGAAAGTCTGCATTTCAAACTGTTAAGTTTCAAAGATGTGGGCATTTGGCATACAGAGGGAGTTGCATTATGGGAATTGTAGGGTTGTTCTTGGAGCTTGAACCATATTAGGGACTAAAAGTCTGGATTTCTTGGCTTTGGCTTTACATCAATTGTGAGCATTCCTAAAAGAATTGGCATGGCTCTAGGTTTAGCAGTTGGATTGCCATGAAAATTGGTGTAGACATTCAATGCACCCCCAGTACAAACCCTCATCAGGTCAAAATTTCATTTGGTCTGACTACTGGCAAAACTTGTGATATTCACATCAGCTTCAGCTGTTTTTAGTGCTAATTATCAAGTTTTAGCTGGCTGAAATGCTAATCTAACATGGTAAACATGGTAAACATTATGCCTGCTTAAAATCAGCATTATAGCATTTTCACAAGCAGTGTAGCATGCTGCTGAATTTAACAAAGCATCATTGTAGCTAAGTACAGCTTCACCGAACTGCTAGCATGGCTGTTGACGATGAAAGTGTAACACTAAATAAACTTGCAACTTATTTCTTTAGTTTTTAAACATATAAAACAAACTCATTGTGGGAATTTGTCAAATAATGGAATCAAGTAAATGGCTTAACATGACTATTGTTTGCTTCTAGCGTAGGAGATAGTAACATTGTGAACAGCTCAGTGTGGCCATTGAGGGAGTACCTGAGTATGACAGAGCTGTGCAGAGGTAGAAAACCACAAATGTAGATACAAAAATAGATACAGTGGCAAAACGGTTGAATATGTTGAAAGACAGTCAGAGCCAGGCAGACTGACAGAGAAAAGAGAATATAACTGTGAAAGAGAGTAAAGCAGTGAAGAAAAGAGAATCTGTGACTGAGTAAGTTCGACACTTCTTCAGACTGTCCATTGTTTCTTTATACCCCCTGATATTAAAGCACCATGTTTTCTTCTCTGAGAAAGGAAATGCTATGGGGCAATGGCCCAGTTTGTGACCCACATTATTTGAATTTCAGCACCATTATACTTTCATGAGAGCTGCCACGCTACGAAAGACAGAAGAGAAATAGACAGGGAGAGAGAGGGACTGCGTGGGCCAACAAAAAGAAAATAGGGAGAAAAAAGGAATCAAACGTAAGGGGGTGGTGGGGGCTGAGGGAGGCGGCTGTGATATGAGACCTGTTTAATTCAGAGTGAATGGCGTGTGTGTGAGTGTGTGAGTGTGTGGGTGTGTGTGTGTGGGTGTGTGTCTGCATATGTCCATGTGTGACAAAAATATTCAAAACCATAGCAGGGTAAAGAGTGAAAGAGAAACAGATTGAGATTTTTTATAAAAGAAGACAGGACCAATACCGAGCCACGTGTTCATCTTCTCTGAGCTGCAGTGCTCCAACAAGGGCTGAATCAGGACATCCAAATC